AGGCATAAACCGCTTTCTCCAATGCAGGCCAGAAACGCCGTCTATCTTAGCCTTAAATCACAGTAGCCTTTTGCGCTGGTTCTAATGCACTGCCTATCCTCACACATCTTCAGCAGGTGTCCAGAAAAACTCAGGGAGACCGAGTCTAGTATTGCTACTACTGCTGCTACTATTTATACTACTGCTTAATAGCAGTGTAGCTGAGTGAAAGTTTTACTCGTACTGTTGCTGACGATAATAATTGGCTAGAATTGTCACTGATTAAAGTCAGCGCTGGAGTCATCTTTCCTTGATCTCACCTAGGAATGGGTACCTGGATTTACGCTATTCCGAATAAAGTAGATGTTTGAGGCTCGGAGCACACCAATGCTTGCCTTGGTTTCTATCCTCCTACCTCTATTCACCAAATCTGTGTAAGGTTGTCCTCAGTTTAGATTGTGAGGGCCAGGATACTGCTGCTAGAAGTAATGTTAGGAGTGCTAATTCTGATAATCATACTTGCTAAGACCAGTAAATAGTATACTACAGTGCGGCCTGTACGTCCATGTAGAAAATTTCAACTTATTATTCCGTCGCAACCTATATCGGGTTAAAGGAACGTGTATTTAATAATAACTCAAGTTGCGTTTAGGTGGCAACGTAGTGTCATTTGCCGTTTTTGCGATGGACAACGCAAAACCGCAGGACATGGTCTTTTCTGATGATATGGGTGATGGGGCACAATCAAGGAGAATTTAGATGGCGCAATAAAATTTCGATCGAACATGTCATCTTTTAACCATTTTTTTTTCTGTGTCTGGTAGCTTGCGAAAGAAACAGTCCAATTTTTAATGCTGTGCTACTATTTCTACTACTTTAATTTGCACCGCTACTAAAAGGCAATATAGCTGAGTGTTGGCAGTACTGGTACTATTTATGATGCTAAATTTGCTCATAGGTGACGCTGTTTAAAGCGAACGTTGTAGCTTGCATATATCCCCCTCGATACCAACAGGGAGTGTGAATCTCGGTCTATGCTATTCCAAACAACTGCATGTTTGAGGTCAGGGCTTGCCTTGGTTTCCGCACTCTCCATTATATCCACTAGGCTGTGTCACCTTATTGGTTAACGAAACGTTATTAAGTAATAGCTTAAGTTCAAACAAGCCTTTATGTCGCATGGTGAAATTTGCCCTTATCAGGCTATCTTTCTGTCTTAGTGCAGTACTTAAATCTATCTTGAGGTTAAGGGGACGTCTCCTGTCTAATAGGAGAGCAATCTGCTTCATAATCAACTGGCATTGCTATATCCTATAACTGTGTCAGTAGCTGAGTAATAAGCAACACGCATAACAGATGGGAATATGGGCTTGCCAAATATTTCATCTTTACGTGGTGATTGCATAAGACTCTTGCACTTTCTTGCGAGAATGCGTTCACTGTAGGGGGTTGCAGGTCAGCAGATACAGGCAGATTACACCGGACTACACGACGGATTCGTGGTTCGCTCGAGCGAACAAACTAAAGGACACAATAAACTGTTTTGTTAGAGCTGGCTGCTTGTTTATGTACTGGGTCAACCCCTGATCTGGATCGTACTGATGCCGACGTGATTTAAGTGTCTTGAGTGACACCATAAAATGTTTTAATGACCCGAGCACGTCTAACGTGCATTTTCTGTACCGAATGGGGCTGCCTTGACGTTGGAAAAACTGCTCATCCTAAGAGACGACCGCAAATATGCACTATGTGCCTCCCTGACGGTAAACGCTCAGAGGGTAATATGCGCGAGGAAGGGGTTATTTCAACAGTGGGTCAGTCGACCGAGCCATTCATGTGCCCATTCTTGGGCTGAATTAGGCAGTTTGGTGTGTTTGCATGAATTGCACCTACTTGACTGTTTACACGCGATAGCCCCAAGTGCACTGAAACCCATGGCGGTACAGTGCAGGAAATGTAGGCACGTGAGATGGTGAACACGTTTCCCATAGGCGCCGGCTGCGGATGTAGTGTGGCTGTTTTGACGGCGGCATTTGCGCACGGTAAAGACGCTGTGGGAGATATTTTCTGTTTTTCGGGGACTCGATGCTAGCGGGTCTGTTAGTACGCTTGTGGGTGCAAAGTTAGTTTGGGGTTAGCTCTAGACACTCTGGCTGTTCGCAGTGTGGATGACGGCTTTGTCGCTGACAACTAGACCAAGGTTGATCGCTGGCGTGAGAACTTTCAGCACTTGCTTAACTTTGATGAGCAACCCATCACACCCCCCTCTCGTCTGCAATGGAGTTCCATTTCTCCCCAGCCTGTAAAATGTTGTACGAGCTCATTTCCGATGACGCAGTTGCCGAGGCTGCACAACAACAAGGCGTCAAGAGAGGACGGTATTTGCGTCGAAATGGCTCCATACGGTGTTCGAGAAAACCTAGAGGGAGGAAGTAGTTCCCAATGACTGGGTCTGTGTAGCCTTATGCCTGTCTACAAAAAGGAAGATAGGAAAAAGGGCAAGAACTATCGCAACTCAAGCCCCATCGACTTTGCTGCGGAGGTCCTCACTACTGTCCTTCTCAGGAGACTTCAGTCAGTACAAGACTTTAGGTCCAACCAAACAGGATTCTGCATTCGGCGTGGATACGTAGATCACATATTCACACTGAGGTGCGTTATGGAATTCCACCATGGCTACCAACAACGGACGGCCGCTGCGTTCGATCCCGTTCATCGTGATTCCCAGCGACGAATATTGGAACTGGATGGGGTATTGACCAAAATCATTCCGATGTTTGGGGCCTACTATCACTCCACTACCGCGTGAGTACGGGCCCAGAACAATCTCTCTCAGC